TAGAGACTGCCTMGCGTTTTCTTTATAGAAGCTCCTAGCTCTTTTATTTGGTGAAGGATCTGGCGAAAGTCTCCAGAAGTATGAGGCATGTTGTGTCAAAACAGAGAGGAGAAATACTTGAGAGTCAACTACTAGTAAAAGAAGGAGGAACAGTCGACTGCACAAAACTCAGAACACTTATCCAAAAGAACGGTACGGCGAATGACTGCAGATTTGAATTTCGCGCCGCATGGCAGCATAGTTAAGAGAGGGGACCTCTATTAACTATGATGGCAGTCACGGGGTAAAACGATCTATAATTGGACCTTGATCAATGACGTCACGAAACAACAACAACAAGTTTATTATTTCACGAAAATAAATAATGTATACAATTGCAGTCCTGCAGATAGCGTAATGCTAATCGAGGCAGGACAATGATATAATTATAAAATATACATATATATATAATTGATAAATTATTCAATAATTTGAAAAGAGGAAAAGAAAAACAAGTTAATAAATTATTATAATTTCACTTTTGACGAAACGATGTGAGAGAAAAAGTTGAAAACAGCGGAAAAAATTGGGGGAACAGAGAAGAAAAAGGTAAAGTAATTGGGGATGCTAAACTGAGATTTATATATCTATGCTACTGTGAACGGGAAAGCACTTGTATAAATTTGAAAACCTCAAGTCCTTTTCTTGTTCGAATATTCTGAATAATTTCTCCTTGACCGCTTTTTGGAAGCTTGGTTTAGATATGTCTCGGATATTAAGAGGAATACAGTTCCATAAGCGAGCTCCTAGTCTARAAAATGAATTCAAAAGTATATTCAGATTGGAAGATTGAATAAAAAGTTTGTTAGTGGTTGATGACCTAGTGGAGTAACTATATTGGTGTSTTACTGATGTGAATAAATTAGAGAGATTGGGGGGTGCGAGTTTATTGGCAACATCATGCATAAGACTAGCAAGTGATAGAAAGTACATAATGTTGAGTGGAGGGATTTGACTTTTTATGAAGAGAGGAATAGCAGAATCATTGTAATTGGAGAAGAAAATCAAGCGAAGAGCACGTTTTTGAATAAGAGATAGATAGATAGCTTTATTAAATCCTTTGCAGCCATAAAGCTGGATAACGGACAATTACAAAAAAAAAGGAATAAATATATATATAATAATGTATGAAAAATTAAGGATTGAAAAATTGAATTACTTAAAAAGCTAAGATATAAATATAAAACTTTGTTTAAATCTATTTGTACGACAAATTGGTGTGTTGAATGTTCGCCTCCTCCTGAGGGCTATGTTGGTGGACTTGCGCGGAGGTAATAGGCTATACAGCTTATGGTTACTGTCATCATTAATTTCTTTGAAGAGATGCTCTGTCAGGTCTTTGCGCCGTTGGTGAAGGGTCGTCATGCTGTGGTCATTAAGAGCTTGTTCATAGTTCAGGGCGGGTGAGATTATCTTAAGAGCTCCTCGCTGAATTGTTTCTAGCTCTTCAGAGAGGTAGCGAGGAAGACCATCATGGAAAGTCTGGCACGCATATTCTGTTACAGGTCTGATGGTTTTTGTAGAAACACATGAGTTGGTCAGGAACGGCGTTAGCACGTTTAAGCTGTCTTAATCGGTAGAGCCTGGATGCACATTTGTTGGTGACGTTCTCAATATGGGCTTCACTGACCAGGTGTGGTTCTTCAATGATAGGTTCAATATAGCAGTAATCACAGTAGCGAGTAAGTCTGCATTCTCCTTCCATACCCAATATGGTATACCATCGGGACCTGGTGCTGATTTCTTTATGTTAGATAAGGCAAGCAGAACTTGATATTCGTCTAGAATAGGCGTGGTCACATCACCAGG